TTCAATTTTTTCAGATTTTTTGCGGCACATAATCCTGCGACTAGCAGGATTAAAAATCCTATAATATTGTTTTTAGTAAGCTATCGAACGATACATCACAGGAGCTCTTTTTGACTGTCTTATTCTGCTATACTCTTTATAATTCATATCGTGCATATTCATCTGTACCACTCGTAACATGAGAATGAAAATAAAAGAGCGTAATAGAGACGTTCAAATTCGATTTGAAATTAGGATGAATAAAAAGCATCAGGAGGTCACGTATAATTTGCATAATCGAAGAAAAAGATATAATCACATGCTGTATCATTTGGCCGGAACTTGCTCCCTTCTCTAAACAGCTTCGTCGTGCACCTGCTAGGAATCATTAGCAAACAATCACTGTATCGATCATCGAAATTGAAATCACTGTAATTTGATTTGGAGGTAAGGGAGAACATATGGATCTACGTACGTTCTTTTATTTCTAATTATTTACTACACTTTTATGTGGTTATGTACTTCGTGTGTTTCTACATACTACATGTATTGTATGCATTTTTGTACATTCAAATTTTCCACAAACCCATGAGCAGCTACTATCTAATAATAGCATATTTTTTCATTTATATAAAAGAAATTGTTATACTAGGAAATGTTTCTTAATAAAACGAAGAAACCCTGATAATGAGAATGTTGATCCAATTCACCTAATTGCCACGAAACTCTGGTACCTTTGATACATGTCAGGGAACGAAAGATTTTGTGGAGGAGATTGAAAGAGGGTGGTTTAATCAGGCGGAAGTCCGCAGGATCGCGTCGAGCGACAGGTCGTGACTCGTGGCAGGACGCGATCATAAGTCGAGAATGGCGTAACCGCGTGTACGCTCGCGTTCGTTTCGCGTGGCGTGCACAAAGCTGCACGATCGTGGCCGTCGATAACCGGCCGTTATCCGCAACGGCAACAAATTGGGCCTCCATAATCGCGCTAATGCATCAACCACGGCGCGCACGGGTGTGACGGTAAAATTGCGGCGAGTCCTCTCGCGAAAAGGGTCGATGTTATCGCGCGAGGCTTAAGTACGCGAGAAGCATTGTTCTCGCTAATCGGACACACACAGCAGACGGCGGCGCAAAGTGCTTGGCATTTTTGCGCGGAAGCTGTAATCAACGCGCAATACGGTTCCACGTTGAATTAATGGCCGGACAAGCCGCGACCGACTTCATCCCTTCCAGCATACCACCCCCCAATCGCTTGTACGCTTCTTTAGAGCCGCTGATTGCGAATAAAAACGAATAAAAACTTTGTCCATCCCCTTCGAAATTCGACTGATTTAAAAAAAGAGTACGTCGCTAAATACTTTTATATTTATTTTCTAATATTTAGAGCACGAAACTAATCTATACAAGTAAATATTATATCTGTTTCAAATTGAAGAAGTTAAATAATATTTAACATAATACATAGCAAAGTATCTATAAAGTGTTAATATATTAATATATTAACTGCATTATAAAGTACAAATGGAAGGATTAGACGTAAAGCTCATTAGAAATAATTTGTAACCGGGATATTCTTTTGGATCGTTAGGCCAACTATCAGTTAACAGATTTAGTCATTATAATAGCCAATTCCATCCACTGTAGATTTTGATAAGAAAAATATGTTTGTATGTACACAAGTCACTTTTAATTACACTG